GATGATACGTTAGAAATAAGTAGTTCTCAGAATAACTCTGAGGTGTTAAATATTGGCGATAAAGCGCCATTTGTAACAGGTCAGACTGAAATCATATTTTCAAAATTATCGTTAATTGTATAATAAATGGAAATATCTTTTTCTTTTTCTTTTTTAGAAAATGAATTTGATCTTTCAGCTATGAATAATGAATCGAAAAAAGATCTCCCAATTGCTCCTACCAATGATGAATATCCTGTAAATGAGATGGAAGTTTCTAAAGGAAAACGAGAAAGGACGAGTGATTCCGAAGGTATTATTCAATGTTAAATTAACATTTAATTAGGTTACTAAATTTGCATTTATTGACTTATTAGAAGAAGTCAATAAGAAGGCCCGTATAGATTAAATGGTTTGAAATATCTTTTATCACCATATATAAACCTATTTTTTTATTTTCAATTTTTTTTGTCACGCCTTTTTGTTTATTTGGGAAAGTGCCATTTGTCACATGATATTCCTTTTACTATAGAGAACCTAGGCACAATCAATGTCTATATTGTTTTATTAAGACCTAACAATTCGCACCCCATATACCATCAAAGAAATCAAGGAATCGTGTAATAAATGGCACATTCCTTATTCCTTTCCTTTCCTTTCCTTTCCTTTCCTTTCCTGAAATTTATGGGTTTTTTTTCTTTGTTCATCATTATTACGTAGATTGCCTTTGTTTACGTTTGCGGCACCATTTATCTGTTCTTTTTATTCGTGTATATATGATTAGGACTAACGAACGTTAATTTTGCTGCCCTCTGGGCACCAAAAAAATAAAATAACCATAATTATTATAGTGTGACAAATACATTGATAATATATATATTTACATTTGTTATTATTTCTTTTATTTATTGATATTTCTAAATCACTAAAGAATCAATTAATAAAATTCATCAAAATTCGTTCATTTTATAATATTCACTCATAATCGAGTTTTATAATTAGTATATCTGAAAGTTTAGGCCGTGTTATATTATGCTATTCATCACATTACATATCAATAATATAATTTATGTCGTAATCAAATTAAACAAAAAAAGTCTTTGATGATATGTCGCAAGTACGTACGTACGTACACACGTCAGGGATAATGCATTTAGGTGGTACGTTTAAAAAAAACCTATACCGATGCTCCAATAAAATAATAATAACTTGCGTTAGGGAGAGTTTACATATCGGTATTTTATGTTTAAAATCGATAATTTAATTGTGGTATATAGATAGTTACAGTTTAACCTTAGAAACCTATCAGAAAAAGTTATAGTTACCGTTACAACTAGGGATGTATGTACGCACGTACGACGTACGTACCTTAACGAGATAATGGTATGATCTTTGCATCCATTTTGTTACATAAAAAGATAAATTTTGATGAGTAATAGTAAAATCACAACAATCGATGGAAAAAATATAAAAATTGTACTACGTACTTTGTTTTCTATACCTACACCTAACCTTAAAATCTCAAGTCCACTTAAATTCCGTTCTCACTGTCTCGTGATTATTATTTATACTTAATATTGTACCAACGTATATCAATATGAATTTGTCTCGTTCTACTCGTAAAAATGGATCCTATAAAACCCAGAGGTCGCCCACCGAAAGCTGGAAGTAAAGGAGCGTTTACAAAAGACAGTAAGTTTACTTTTATAGATCTACTTTAAAATTTATTGAATGAAAACTTTATTAATCCTTTTTATATAAAACTAAACAGAAATTATTTTAATACTTTAAGTACGACTTTTAATGTATGGATTTGGAGATGAACCTATTCCAGCAACAGATTCCATAAACGTAATGGAAGAACTTGTTACTGATTATATTACCGAGATGGTATTTAAAATATATAATTGATTTCTCTAATGTTTTATAATGATTATTTTTAATTAACTAAATTAACAAACTAGTGCCATAAAGCATCCGATGTTGCAAAAGATCGCAAAGTTACCGTTGATGATTTCAAATTTATTTTGCGGAATGATTC